TGTTTGCACTCCGACCTCAAGTTACCGCACTTAGTACTGTCAAACAATGTTGACTGCACGTATTTCCTGGGCGCAAGTCGAGCTCAACTAGTAAATAGTTAGAGCGTGTGCATTATATATATATGTTTAATGTATGCATAGATATTTAGTAAGGGTCGAAGGCTGTTTGGGACAAATGCTTGTACTGTATTTAAAGGCTTTGGTGACTGTGGGAAAGGTCAGATCCCTAATGCTAGGGATTGCTGCAGCAATTTAAGCTCGAGGGGCGGGTATTTAAGCGCGATTCGAGGTAGATTTTGTCCAAGATTTTGAGCCCGAATTAAGCTCGTGCACCATATGGTTCGTTTGGGAAGTATGTATACACATATAAACTATGTTTCCAAGAGCGGCCCCGCCTCTCAGCTTTTGTGTCCCCATGCCCTATTGAGCAAAACTAATGGGCTATCACTTACCTAATTAATTCTTCCCTTTCTTTAAGCATATTTCATCAAAAGCAGCCAAACCCTCCTTCATTCCAACTTATTTTTACCATGGTCCACCTCCAACATTCAGGAGCTGATGATATCGACGTAGTAACAGTTTAGGTAGAGTTAGACAGTTACCTTCTTGCCTAAACTTAAGCGGCCTATCCTATAAAAAAGTACGCCGCCCGATCCGCTTGTAATTGACTTACCTGAATTACCATAGTCTTTTTCGTTGACCAGTGCATTTAATTAATTGCATGCGGCCCTATGGAAACGGGGTATCCCGCATTCGTTTTGCCACTTAAGTCGCGATTTTAATATAAAAAAAATCGCCGGGCCCTAACGGAGTCTAACTGTTTGATTGTCTGTTTTTGGCGTGATAGTGTGAGTCTAAGGACAGTGTGTACTTTGTAGTTCCCAATGAAGCTAGTTTCATTAAGGTTCACTGCTGGTTAAATTTGTGAGTATATGGTATGGAAAGTAGGCTTTTATCGACCTTTGGGGAAGATAGGGCGTCGCAGGCCGAGTATGACAGAACATTTCAATAAATAGGTTTTTCGGCCTTGTTTGGAATCTCATCACATATGTTGGATTTCTTTTCAATCCATCTTTCGGTTCTTAATCTCGCGTCCTTGAGCATTCTGACCAATCAGGACAGTGCATCGAGTAATTCGGTTAAGTAGCAAACTCGATGAATCACTCTTAGCGTACTGGATAAATAATAAACTACAGGCCACTCGTCAGGGTTGTTGCAGAACAGATCGCCGCCAAGAACGCAATGTTCAATTTGCAGCAAAAAGCTGGACACTAGAATGAAAATGTGGTGAGATGCCAATTTCGACTAAACTGTGCTGCAATTCAGTGACTCGGTATGCCCTGCCGTTGTAATGAAAGTTGCCTGTCGACGCTAACTTTTTGCTTTGTGATGGATAGAGAGAATGTTTGACATATGTATCAGGGGTATCTAGCCGTTTGGCCATCTCTGTAGTACTGTTTGTCACTGCTGGTGAGTAGCATAATTGGGCTAAGACAAATGAGAATGGTCTGAGCGGATTTATAGTAGACGGTTTAGCGAAGTGACAGTTGGGAACAGTGTGTTGCTTCGCACTCCATCCACTACGCTCCATTTTGGGAGTGCAACCGCTAGAAAGGCGGGCGGGCTGACGTGGCCCGCATGTTACTGTGCGAATTTTGTGTGAATCAACGTTGCGTAGCCTTTCGGATTGGGGTGCTGTGAACAGAATTTCTCAGCGTGGTAACCGCGCTCTTGTGTCCCATCTGACCAATGCTAACCCCGAATGAGCGCTTGCAGGGGTTAGACGTTAAAAGCATCTCTTTTTTGCTATCTTCCCACCTGTCATTGTGTTAACGACTGGTTTCGAAGGTCGCAGGTCTAGCCCTTATGACAACTTGCCGCGTAAATCTCTCCTGCACGAGGGTTTCCCAAGGATCCTGCCTAATCTCGAGATATTCCACTAAAGCCTTCAAGGTTTCCTATCGTCCCTTTAAATGACTTTAGTTATTCGTAAAGCTTTGCGCACCTTTTTTTTTTAGCAAAAAAGCTTTTTTCATTTTCGGATGTTTATTGCAAATTGCGGCGCACAACGTAGTTTTTACAATTTAGCCGCCTACACTTTTTACCCTTTACTACTATGGTGCGGTTTGATTTGGCTGCCTATCATAACGGTTGGAATTTGGTGGGATTTGTTTGAGACAGGATCGTATTTATTTTCTTTCGCGGTTACTGCGGATGCAGAAGACAAAAAGTTGCCTGATGTGAAGCTGAGAGATAAATTTGACTTTGATAGTAGCCGTCGACTTCGAGCGCCTTCTTAACGACCGGAACATCCTCGAGACACTCCGCCTCTCCTTATTGTGTAATTATCACATCCGCCGTAACCTCTGATCTCCCGGATTTTTTACTGGGTTGCCAAGGTGGACGCAAAGGTCTGTGTTCTTCGACAAGCGTGTCATGTACATATATTGAAAGAGTGGCTTTGAGTTTCTTCCCAGAAAATGCTTTGCAGATGATGAAGGTGATGTTGCGCAACTTTTTGTTTTCTTGGTTCACTTTGTCGAAGGCGTGCAGAAAACGACTTTTTCGAAGATGGTAGCGGCCTGTATGCTCCAATGCCCACATCGGATGCTAGCCGTGTTGTTTATTTTGGGGTTTTCTCTTCATCCGGTGGTTATTCTCACGTTAGCAAAGTAGTGCATGGCCAACAAAGGGGCAGAAATTTAGTTTTTATTGTGAATTCTATGATCATTTTGCTGCCAACCTAATTGATGGTGGATATCGAAATCAGCATTTGCATTAATAATCCTTCATTTCATCTGGAACTTGGGATTTAGCGCTCCTCTCTAAGCCTAATCGTGGTCTAGCATTTTAAAGAAAGCCCCCAAGGCCATATTCGCCTATGGATGCAAGCAGTGAAGATCACAACGTAGCACGCGTTCTCGTTCACTACATGAACCGCTTTCGCAAATCGCATGGACCATCAAAATGAGTATTGGAGCGTCTCGTAGGTAAATGAGCATACCGAGTATTGAGCAATCCCTTAAGCATCTGTACGCGCGTACACGTTCATGGTTTAGGCATACTAGCTGGCGACAGTTCAGCCGTTGTCTCTGACGATGTCCACCGTGTGCTCCGCAGCGGGGGGGGGGGAGCAGGGACGGTGACTTCCATGAGTTCGTTTATAATGATGTTGGACTTGCGAAACATCTGCCATGCCGCCTCCTCCTCCCCACCTGAGCCCACTGTCATGATAGAATCAAGAAGACCGGAGGCCGGCACGGCGAAAACCCACACCTAACCGCGTGCCACCACACTGGCTCGGATCCGACTGAGTGGGGTTGCCATAGAGACCACATTGAGAAGGAGCCGTTGCAGCCTGACTCTCAGTCCACCAGTTAGCCACTCCGCACAAATGCGCACTAAGCTGTCTACGAATTCCGGGTTATCCCGTCAATTGGCAGCCTTCCATACCCAGGCTTTTAGCCGACCGTGACAGATTCAAACGCGTCAGTTCGTTTATAGTGAGGAATACAGGCTGAGAGCGTCGACCTCGCTCTCTTCCAACTTACACGCGCCAGTCCACCGTCCGAGCCGGTCAATTGTCATATGGGATAAGTGGGCGCAGTGACTGACAGGGCTAGCGAGTCAGTCTGCGCACGCCACGCACACGACCCGGTCCTCCAAACGCACACACTAGGACTAAACATAAAAAGATGTAGGTGGCTCGGATCTCACATATATGAGAGTGCCATTAAGAAGGAGCCATCAAAGTCTGACTCTCAGTCCATCAGTCGGTCAATCAACTCATAAACACACACTGGGCTGACTGCGTGGTCTGAGTGGAGTCGTCAGCCGTTAACCTTTTTTAGCCACGGCCTTAAACGTACCGTGGTAGTCTTAAGCGCACCAGGTTGTTTATAATAAGGAATTATGCACTGAGAATCTACCTAACTGACTCTAACCTTTCCCGTGCACCAGTCGACTGTCCGAGCCAGTCAACCAGCTGATTTTGAGATTGGGAGAAGTGGCCGACAGCTAAGAATACCCCCTCTGCGCGTGTCACACATACACGACCTGGCCCTTATACGCACACCCGGATTTCGCAGGAGGTAGACTGCTATGATCTCACACGTAGCACAGGAAACACATGGAGAAGGGGCCAAAAGACACACCTCACCCATCTGAGAGGTGTCTACCTTGTGTGGTGTCGGAAGTGCTCCTGTGTTGCGCGTGTTTTGAAGGGGGAAATGTGTGGTGATGTGGTCTAACCTACGATGATTTACCGCGGAGTATCGTGCATACGCATGTGACAGACTAGGCCCTTACACTGACCAGATGTGCTAGAGCAATGCTGGCAGTTGAGGCGGTGGCGGCAGATCTACGTGGGTTCTAGTGGCACTAGTTCGCCTGTCTCTGTGCGACGGATTCGCAAGTGATCGACCAGGCCAATGCGTAAGGTCAGTGTGCGTTCGCAATGAGGGCAGGTTGGAAACGAGTCCACATTGCTGGCTGTGGGTGCGGTGATAGTGAGGGTAGTAGTTAAGGAGGCGTTGGTAGCGTTCTCACCGGTAGCGGGAGTGGGGAATTTCGTAGCTTTCGCGGGGGTCGTGGCAGGGATGATGGCGGTGGTGATCGGTGGAGGTGGAGCATCATGAGTATGTTTACCGGCGGTTTGGCGGTTGTCATCGTGGACTCTGTGAGGGCTGGTGCAGGGCGAAAGTGGGAACGGTCGTGGAGACAGCAGATGGGGTTGCTTGGTTATTGTTTCACAGGGTTCTGAGATGTCCAACGAGACCATTCCACACGCGGAAATTTCGTTGGCAGCGTGGACATTCTGGAAGATGATGGACGTTGGCGTTGTTGGTCGAAGACGCTTGAAATCCGCGAGCCGCTCTTTTGGCTTTGCAGCAGCTATCCGGTTGGCTTGATTAGCTCGTCGGTTCTGTGCGGGGTCTGTCCAGGTTCTTGAGTTGATTTAGAAGCCAGCTAGCACGTGCTACATGGTTCACCATACTACCATCGCGGGTATTAGCCAAATGCCCAAACACGTGTTTCATCGATCTACCGCTGCATGACAACGATTCGGTTCCCTCAGCGTTTTCTGTGTGCTTTCCGGTACATATTTTGGTTTTAAAATTTCAGTTTTTCTTAATTTCCTTAGAATTTGATGCGCCAACTTTGAGTAAATCATTCGGAATGAAGTTTTTAGGCTTCGTCCGAAAGTCTACGTTAACATTTTAGACAGTGTCTTTGTCTCATCTGTTTGTGCAGTCCACTGCAATAATTTCTTGTCGCCTAGCCTGATTTTTTCCCATTTTGTGATTTCAAACCATATTCACCAGAATCTTGTGCTACTTGTTTTAAAACTCTTCCTCTGATTCTATTATGTCATGCCTTTTTTTCAAAACAAAGTAAGTCTACAAGAGAACGATCTAAAAACCAGTCAGAGATTACCGTATGTTGCATTTTAAGTTTTCGCTCCTTCTTACCGACGCGGCTTATTACTTTATGCCAACCAAGCAACAAAAAAGACCCATGTATCAACTCTTACACAACTGCAGTCCAAGCACGTTTGACTCGACAACTGTGCCCTTCATCATTAACTGAACTCTATACCTGTTTAGACTGGCAACTTTATCTACGCCTCCTGGACCAGCAAGAGGTGATAATCAACGTTTTTGGGCGGTGCATCGTCGAAGAGGGCGCGACTGCAAAATGCCAATTGTCCAAGTTGGAAGCATTCACGTCGACTTTCCCTATAATCCCTATCCCTGCCAGGTTTCCTACATGCAAAACGTCATAGATGCGCTTAATGAGGTAAGATGTGTCACACGGCTTGTCAGACAAACTGATTTCAGAGACGTCACGCAATTTTGGAGTCCCCCACCGGCACCGGAAAGACGCTCTGTCTCCTGTGTGCCTCTCTCGCCTGGCTGGACTACGTCCGTGCGCAACAGCAGCTCACCGCCCTAACAGCCTGGGACACCTCCCATCCCACCTCCGAGGCCCCCTTCTCCGGTCTGAACAAGCTAGACAACCCGCTGATCATCTTCTCCTCCCGCACGCACGCCCAGTTGAATCAGGCGATTCAGGCCTTTAAGAATACGGTCTACTCCAGGTAGCCAGTGCTCTGTGTCTTTACTATCCCCGGCCCAAAGTCCTTGTAGACTCGGATTTGCCGGGGAGTCAAAATTGGTTTTTTTTGCATAAATATTGACTGCCGTGTTTTAGACTGGTATTCACGTATGTTACTACTGGCAAAGACAAGGGAGACTGGAATGACCATTTCTGGCTTTTTAGCCGTCATCAGTCAGTCACACCCAGCTCCGAAGTGTGGAACACCCGAGGCTTGAACTCGCGACTTGTTAGTTAGAAGGCCACGTCTCTAACCACTGGGCCGCGAGCCCGTTGTCTTGTCGGTTTCGATCGGGAATATATAATGGTAGGGGGCGCTCACCGATCGTTCTTACGGAACTCACTCGTCTCGTTGTGTCTTACGGGCTCTCTCTCTCGAGCCCAACCAGCAGCCGCACGGCGGCGCATGATATATAGGCAGAATGGTATTACCGACAAAGACAAGGAGATTGGAATGGCCATTTCTGGCGTGACGCGGTTAGAGGCGTGAACTTCTAACTTACAGGTAGCAGGATCGAGCCCCAGGTGTTCCACACTTCGGGGTTGGGTATGACTGACTGACGACGGCTAATAAGCCAGAAATGGCCATTCCAGTCTTCCTTGCATTTGTCGGTAATGACATTCTGCCCATGTCATGCGCCGCTGTGCGGCTGTTGGTTGGGCTCGAGAGAGAGAGCCCGTAAGGCACAACGGAAGGAGTGAGTTCCGTAAGAGCGATCGGTGGGCGCCCCTACCATTGTATTCACGTACAGAACTGGTCACTGATTACCAGTTGATTTTACTGGTGCTCGCCAACGCATCCCTAGTCCATCATTCATGCATTCATGCATCATTCATTCATTCATTGATGTTTTTTTCTCAGCCACCTCAGCTCCTATTATTTCCGGTCTTTTTAATTCTGTTCTGCTACATGGTACTGGGGAAAGAGGAAATAGCGGTGCCGATGCCTAAAAGTCGTGTTTATTATGACCTGATTCGGGCAGAGGTTACGATTACCCTGATAGGGATCATTTATAACACAGGCGACGTATACAATGTCGTGTGTGCGTCCTGGAAGGTACCGTGCAATTAGTACCCCCAAGCTTGATTCTGGTGTCTTTTGACTGCTAATTCTGTTTCAGAGGACACAGCATCTCGACGTCAGTTCGATCGAACACTTATTTTTCCGGTTTCTATTTAGAAGAGGCATGCTGACGTTTTCCAGTCTTAATTTAGTGAAGTTGTCTTCGTCTTTGACGCTCGAAAGTTTTAAATGGATCGAGGTGGGATTATATTAAGTGCAAAGCGACACTTTCTAACACAACAGCAGACCAGTAATGGCACAAGGGACCCGTTGCGAGCAGAAGATGGCTTACTTTTCAACCACTGGTCTAAATGCATACTCAGTGTAGTAAGACAAATAAGCAGAATTTTTCTGACCTTGGTAGGGTGGACAGACCATGTCCTTGGCGGAGAAGCGGCAAACGCCTAGCTAAAGGTTATTTGTCCAGACTACTTATCAGTTTGCTCTGAGCACCTGGAGTTCGTGGTTGTCACTGATCCTATTTGAACACTACTTTGGAATCATTTTTTTATTACGACATCTTTACTATTATTGAGCCAATCGCATCCTTCCGCTGGGCCACTGCATCGATCGAAATGTACATGCCACAGGTGCGACGGAGTCGTTTAAGTCGGTTGAAAACACTTCACGCAGGGACCCAGGACGGGGGCGCGTGTAACCCCGTGCCAGTGACGATCGTCGTTGTCTACTCCCTTACCGCCAATGACGCCCCCCTCCACTCCCGATCGCATTTAGCACCCTTCCTATCGTCAGCACACCTCCACAGCCCTTTCTTGCGGTTGCCTACATCACTGAGCTCCCCACCGGTAGTCTAGCAGACTGACTCCACACCCTAGATGAGTCATTTGCACCTGTAACACAATGCCTTCCTCTATTGTTGATTTTTTTATGTCGTAACTTGTATATTAGCTGTAGCATAGTTCCTGCTTACTGCAACACTTTTTTGGAAAGGACGCAACATCCGACCCAACTTCTCATATTATTACTGCTTACTGATTATTACAAAAGTAGCGTTGTTTTATTTAGGTACACTAATTGCCTTTTTTCAAGATAGCATAGATCTTCGCCTAAATATCACATCCAGCTTATTTGTCGGTTGGCATACACGCTAACTTGGTATATTTTACCTTTGCTGGCCACCTTGGCGGCTTCCCTGTTTTCCGCTGTCCTGCATCGTTATGTCGTGCCGTTGGGTCAACGTTCCCGCTTTACTCATGGGGTCTGCCGACATCATTCGTCCTTGGATTTCTATTGGCTACTTCGCTGTCCTGGTCTCTAAACTTGGCGTCTTATTGTGCAGGCGCTATGCTTGGCTTCTTTTGGTTTTTGGTGTTGAATTTTGCTGGTATTCAATTTTCAAGATCGCTCTCAAGGTCATGCAAGTATCTATTTGAGCCTATGCACGGAATTAGAATATTTTTCCTAAACTTTATTCCTTTTCACCGTTCTCTTTCCCATCCATTAGCCCCACCCATATAACCTCTGCATCCACCGGTCCCGTAAGATACGATGACCCATCCTCCGAATTATGGATGGGGTAGTATATTGCGTCGTTACCTTCTTTCCTTACAACATCCTTGTATTTGTGTCCGATGCGGCGCATACCGACTCTGTTCGACGCTATCCGGAGTGTTCTATTTGACCGAGTTTGTGTTGTCCCTAACGTCTTTGGACGCCACAAATCAGTTACTGCCTACAACGGATTTTACTAATACATCCCTATAATCGCA